TATAATCTATGATTCTATGATTCTATGATTAAATCATCTCAGCCAGGGTTTGTCAAGCCGGGCCTTAAAAAAGCTCTAAGGATAGAGATTCCACCATCTCCCTAGGTGACCCATTCCAGTGCTTCACCACCCTCCTAGTGAAATAGTGTTTCCTAATATCCAACCTAGACCTTCCCCACTGCAACTTGAGACCATTGTTTCTGTGCATACTGTGTAGGCCATAGTATAGGTCTGATCATAGCAGCAGCCTGGCCAATCTTTTTGTTCTGAGTTTGTACAGTGCCTAGCACAATGGGGCCCTCATCCATGACCGGGGCTACGACAATGCAAATAATAAAAAATAAAATAATTATTAATAGCAGTTGCCATATTAGAGCTGATTGAATGATGGAAAAATTATTTACTAATAATTATTCGTGGGAGAGGGAAAAGCAAAAATTGCAAATACCTGCAATACATTAGTCACCCAGCTCTATCTGGTCTCCTGTCTCCCATAGCAGCCAGCATCAGATGCTCTAGAGGAAAGTGTAAAACCCCTATAATTGACCGTTAAGCAATCAAATGCCCATATGGGAAGCTTCTTCCTAATCTTTTCATTAGTGGTTGACTTATGCCGAAAAGATTCAGTGCTTACATCCTTTATATCCTGTTATCCTTTCTTACATAACTGTGATGTTATTCATATAAATGTCTAATGCTTTTCTGAATCCTACTAGTTTCTTGGCCTCAATGATATCCCAGGGCAGTGAGTTACTGCAGATACAAGATTCTAATCCTACCACTGGTCTTTTCCTAGAAACTGAAACCCTGGGGTAGTAATGGCTGTGATGCTAGCAATGAACAGCCTTTGACAAGCACTGAATGCTCTCAACTTCCTGGGATTCGAAAGCATCAGCATCTGGCAGCATCTCTCCTCCTTCCTTGCCTGCTTAGCTAATATAATCTAGCAATGCAGCACTCACTGTACAGCACTCATTGTCATAGACGCTCAACACCTCTATCCTTCAGCTGCCTCTATTTGAGGCCCACATTGCTGTATTATCTATCTTTATAGCCCCTGACCCTGTAGGATCTCCATGCTGCTAGACCCATGCCCCTACACAACACCCCATTGAAGTCAAAGGGGTTCCATGTGCGTGTCAGGAGTCATAAGAACATAAGTATGGCCATACTGGGTCAGACCAAAGGTCCATCCAGCCCAGTATCCTGTCTACCGACAGTGCCCCAGAGGGAGTGAACCTAACAGGTAATGATCAAGTGATCTCTCTCCTGCCATTCATCTCCACCTTCTGACAAACAGAGGCCAGGGACACCATTCCTTACCCATCCTGGCTAATAGCCATTAATGGACTTAACCACCATGAATTTATCCAGTTCTCTTTTAAACGCTGTTATAGTCCTAGCCTTCACAACCTCCTCAGGCAAGGAGTTCCACAGGTTGACTGTGCCCTGTGTGAAGAAGAACTTCCTTTTATTTGTTTTTAACCTGCTGCCCATTAATTTCATTTGGTGGCCCCTTATATTATGGCAACAAGTAAATAACTTTTCCTTATTCACTTTCTCCACACCACTCATGATTTTATATACCTTTATCATAT